TCTCTCCAACCTGATAATAATGTATCTGATCCCTTCCATAATCTTATGGGGATGTTCAGGTGTCAAATAGAAAAATTTTGGGTTAAAGTAGTAACCTAAAAAATATAGATAGAGAAAGGTCATTTAAAATTGTATAAAAAAATAATTGAGAATTAATCATTCTAATGATATAAATATATACGTGCCTGCATAATGAACTGGACGTCCAAATTTGGTGTTCCACCTTCTTTCTATAATCTCGATCACTTTACTAGCAAAACTACACTTCTCCCCAATAGCTAATTTGGCCCTCTCGATACCTTTGTAAAGGATGCCCACGGTAGCTTTCTTGTTACCATCAATCATTCTTAACACAGTGACCAAAGGGGCAGTGGCCTCTACGACACAAGAACATCGAGACCAAAACCTCCTATTTGAGACTATGTCGTCTACTTTTATCCCGGTAATGGATTTTTAGAGGCGGTCATTTAACCACCTTTCACTGGTAAACAATCTCTTTAATGCACCTTCATATTCCTGAATTGAGTCCACAGCCAAGTAATCTGTCTCAACGTGGGTTATGGCAGGCCTGATTATCTCTTTTTTCTTAGATTGTTCTCTGAACAAAAATAAAATTTTAGAGTGGTTATATATAAATCTTGACACCAACCTCGCTTCTTGTTGAGTTTCCTTCACAATTTTCTTCTCTAACATAAGATCGATGCTGTGTGCAGCACACAGCGTCTATACTAGATGCTTCCTCTTATCCATCAACTTGCTGCCCGTAGAAACACATACACGCGCATTGTCCGTAATAAACTAGGCTACATGCTTATCTCCCACCTCTTCCACTATCTGATCATATAGTTGTACCAAGAAGTTTGCATCTTTCTTTATCCTTGATATGTCTTTGCTAGACAAAAAAGTTGTACTTTTTGGGGAATAGGCCAAGAAGTTAAAAAACTCCACTTTGCTAACTTTATTTCACCAACCATCACTCATGAGAGTAATGCCTGTTTTTGGCCAACTCTGTTTATATTCTTCAATCCACTTTCTAACTTCCTCCACCTCTTCATCCAAGATTGGCCCACTGAGCTCATATGTCGTCGGGGGCTTTATCCCAAGCTTGACTTTCTGAATTGCGTTGATCATAAGTGGGAAATATAGGTTATTGCCTGCATCAAAGGGGATCCCTTTATCGTAGAACTATTTACCAATATATATGTCCAATATATTCCTCATAACTTTCACCATGCCTTTGAGGGTTATCTGTTGTGATTTAGGCTTTGAGAGAAATGGGTATATATGACCATGACCTACAATACTGGCACTTCTAAATAAGCCAGAAAATTTTTTTTCAACATTTGATTCCTCTTCATACATATTGCCACCAACCCCGGTATGCATGCTCGAGCTAGGCCCGCCATGCATGTCTGAGCTAGGCCAGCCATGCATGCCCATGTCATAACCACCAGGCATTCTAAAAACGCATTCCCTCTAGTATGTTTCCTGTAAACTTATTATTGTGCCCATCTCCAAGTTATTATTATATTGTTCTTCTGGATCATTTCCGCTCAGTAGCATATATAAATCAGCTATCTCCTCATCCATAATCTGCTTTGTAATTTTTTACCTTGATTAGCCTTGAGAAATGTCGTCATCTGCTTTCTTACATTACTCGGGATACTATTGCACACAGAAACATATCCCTTAACCCCTGACAAGTGTTGCTTGAACCTATGTACCCCATTACTTATCACTTTTTGGCAGTAATTATAAATAATTTTGTCTCTTTTGTTGGGATCAAGTCTGACCCCATGTTGTCATGCAGGGTCTTCCCTAGATCTTGCCATGGTTCAATTATTTTAATATGTAAATGGTTAAAAATTAACCTGACAATTCAACATGAAAAATAATCACCATGTGTAGTGATAATATGTAGGGGTAGTTCATGAAGTTATCTTTGTTGTTAATACAAATTACTTCTACTGATAAAAATATTTTAGTTCCTATTGGCAAAAAAAATTTATTTATGCAACATTATAGATAAAAATAGTTTATATCAACCATTACAATAATATAGTAATCCATAATGCCACTACATGTATATTTGGCATAAAAAATATTTACAATGATACAGTCATTCACAATGCCACAAATAATATTTACAATAATATATGGGCACAATCCCAACTCAATTAAAATGATCACAAATAGTCGTACATCTCAATTAAAAAAATGCAAGATAATATAATAAAAAATGCAAGCTCCAGACATGCCTACAACTCAATTATCAAGAATATATATACAATTTATGTATCAACATACATTTTTTTACATTAAATATATAATAATAAAATTTAAAAATGCAAGATAATATATTTATCACACATGCCACGATTTTTTTACAATGATATTCATACAGTTAATATCAAGAATATACATACATGCCACAAATAATATTTACAATGATATACTCATTCAAGATAATATAATGATAAAATATTTATCAATCATATAAATACATTTTATGCATTAAAATTAGAAATACAATTTTGCATTAAAAATTTAACAACATGTATTTTTTTGCATCAATAATTTAGCACAATGAAAGTTTTTGCATTAAACATCTAGCAATAAAAATTAAAAATACAATTTAATTAGTCATGATAATCAAAACCTAATCACGATTTTCACAATTTTCAAAAAATCATGATTTCTCGAATAAATCAATCATCATTTTTAAAAAAAAAAAAAAAATGTAGTTCTTCACAGACCGACCTGACATCAGTCATTCCAACTCGAAAATCTGCCTTAAATTGAATAAATTACATCAAATCGAATACATGTTATGCTAAACAATACTATAAGGAATCAAAACCCTATAATATTAACACATTATTATCAAAAAATTGAATAAAATCGATTGAATGGCAGAAAAAAAGAAAAAAAAAAACGCGGTTCTTCACAGACCTACCTGATATCAGTCATTCCATCTCAAAAATCAAGCTCAAATTGAATACATTTGATGATAAACAACACTATAAGGAATCAAAACCCTATAAAATTAACGCATTATTTGCAAATAATTGAGTAAAATCGATTTAATGGAGGAAAAAAAAAAAAAAAACAGTTATTCATAAATATCAGTCATTTTTTTTCTAAAAACTCAAGCTCAAATTGAATAAATGAGATCAAATTGAATACATGTGATAATAAATAACACTATAAGGAATCAAAACACTACAAATTTAACACATTATTTGCAAATACTTAAGTAATATCGATTGAATGACGGGGAAACAAAAAACGCAGTTCTTCACAAACATGAGTCATTTTTTCTCGAAAATCAACTTTAAATTGAATAAATCAAATCAAATTAAATACATTTGATGATAAACAATACTATAAGGAATCAAAACCCTATAATATTAACACATTATTTACAAAATATTGAATTAAATTGATAGAATGGCGGGAAAAAAAAAAAAACCTGCAGTTCGTACTTGTTTTTCCTACACTCGTGGCTTCAAATTCATAACTGAAATGTAATCGTCCAAAATACTCACAAATTATGAACAACAACTTCTAAACAACACTCTTAAGATCTATAACCCTCATATTTTATAAAAAATGATGCCCTATTTTGCTCGAAATCAGAGAAATGGTTGATCCCTAAAACTCACGCTTTGTTCTTCACAGATCCAAATATTTGTGATCAAAATCGATGATTCTACTACAATTTATTGATTGCAATGTCTGAAAAGATTAAAGTAAAGGCTAAAAGATTCAATTACAAAGCTGAAAATGATAAAAAATGATAAAAAAAATGACAAAAAACCATGAATCTCGTGAAGAACACCTTTACACCCGTGTTTTACTATTGAGAACTAGGTTGACTCGGCGATTCACTGTTGGGAATCGCCCGGTTCTCTCTGGACACGGGCGATTCTCGGTATTTCATTGGAACCGGTACGGGGGTGCCAGTTCCTGAGTTTAACGGGGCGAGTTCGATTCGACTTGCCGATTTTTGAATCACTGGTTGTAGCTAAGGGTTTAGGGTGTAGTAAAAGAGATTCTCTCTTTCTCAACTAGGTTATCAAGGGGCTTTACCTATGTTGAGATTTGTGCTTGAAAGGGATTCATGTTCTATTAGTATGGCTTGGCCTAAACTTAGTTTTCTAGTTGAAATTGAAGGTTGACTATTAATTCTACGTCATCGAAAGGCGGTGACTCGGTGTAGAGTGTAAGAAACCCAATTGAGGTAATCCTAATACCTTTTGTGTCTTCTACATTTATTTATTGTGTCTTTTATTCCTAAACATAAAATGTGCCTTTTCTTTGTTGTGTCTTTTATTCCCAAGCCAGTTCGCCATCTTGGATATCCCCTCGAAGGACCATCCTTATGATCCAACACATGATTCGGTTATGTCACGAGTGAGGTACTTGTTATCTGCTGAGTCAGTGGCATCGGATAGGCGCTGAAGTCCTTATTGCATTACGGCCCTTGCCGTTGTATATAAACTTCCCCTTTTTAAAAAAAAAATCTGATGCCACCTAACAACAATTTTTAGCTAGTAATCAGCCATTTACTAGCAGTTAATGGGGATTAATTCCCCTTAAAAAAGTTAATAGACAATATTCCTGGTCAATTAGATCAAGTGCAACGTTATATCGTCTTATAAAATATGGCACAGGAAAGATATATGTCTTCAAATTAAAAGCACACTCCCATTACATTACTGCAAGAGCCTTTATTACTGTAATTTCACATAACCACAAACCTCTCTCTCTCTCTCTCTCATAGAAGAAGTAAGTTACTTACTAACTAACTAAACGTAACAACAACTAACTACTACTACTACTACGTACGACGTACGTTACGTTACTACGTTAC